GAATGCATATCTGGCCTTTACAATGACTCGCGGTGGCCCATTGAAGCATCGAGCCAGTGCCACTATCCTCCCAGACAAGTCTGGTACCAATTTGACGAGCCCGGAGGGATGGAAGGCTTGGTGGGCCATGGGCACGTGAATCGATTCCACGTGTGTGTTGCAGGGCGCCTCCGACCACTGCGCCACGCGCACCCTGAAAAGACCAATGGATCTCAGAAATGTTCATGTCAAATTTTTTCTTCCTCAATGACTTCGATGCTGTTTGATTTTTTTCACATATGAATTTCTGTTCAAATGAACTTTGCTGAGAGCATTTGCGGGTTGTCGCTGTTTCCTCGGTTAGATCAGATATTCTACAATTGTTTGATGCCAATATGACTGCAGTAGTTCATTTTCAGGAGCTCTGTTTCCGTTGTGCTTCATTGGATTCAACATTCTCTACTGGAGAAATTACTCTCAGTATCAGGTTTCGGGACCACGATAGCATCAAACATTTCAGTTGCTTGAGTATGAAGAACGGCAACAAGGCTTTCATCGGATGTTTTACGACTTCTCATCACAGTATGAGCTTATTAAAGAGATTAAGTACACAGTCATAAATCAACTCACTGCCATGTTTGGTGTTTCGGAGTTCTAATCGTATAAAGCATTCAAATCTAAGATATAATCAATATTGAAGAATGAAGACATCAGGAATGTTTAAAGAAGGTATGAATGGTTTTTCATCTCACTTCGGGAATGGGCAGCCTATCAATAGTTAGCTCAAACGATGGGCATGGGCTCTTGCATTACTCTTTTGATTCGTCTGATAACCATATATTACAAGAATTTTTATTTTTTAGACGGATCCAAGCTCACTGTGAGTACCAAACCACTTTAGTTACCGTAGTTTTTTTTTATTTTTCGCGTTTTTTCTTACGGTTCCTTGAGGACCTTTTCTTATTATTGTTAAATTTTATTATGCAGCTGCGCAAAGCAGTTTTTAGATAAAAGTGATATTTCATCGTGTAAAAATGAGTTATGTAAAATTCAAATGCAATATTATAAATAATTAGAAAACAATCACAGAATGACTGTTGTTACAGAACGCTCTATTACGATTTGCATCACTGGAAAATGACATTCGGTCCTCCTCTAAACGTGTTGGATGCGTCGTGTGGTTTTAACGCCCACGGCTGTCTTTATTGAATTAGCAAAAAGCAGGAATTCTAAGCGAATCATTTTGCACCGGAAATCTACTTTGTCGTTTTTCAGTAAGCAACCATGGACGGTCTGTAATCTAAGGAATCAGATTTTCTCCTATCTTTGAGTGGTTCCGCACCTCATTTTGGCTGGCTGGTGTGGATGTTCCTTGGTATCGAACTCCGTTGTAGAGCAGAAAGTCCATCACTCCAGGATTGTTTTCTAAGCAGAGAAAGAGTCCAACATCTTCATTTGAGAGCCGAGTTTAGAATGGTCTACTGCTGAAGTCATTGATACATCGGCAGCAACACTGCCATTAGCTGGGAGATGGTAATGAGGTGGGAAAGTGTTAGCACCACAGTTTTCGTATAAACTCCAAGAGAAATTGTACCGGGAACCAGACAACTACTCGTGAACCACATAAATGGGCTATTCAAATATCGAGGTATTCTACTAATATTTCCTATATAAGATTGTTCTAAAAAGCACTCAAGAAGTCATACTGAAATTTTTCGTAGTTGCTCGTTTTTTCTTTTAGCTACTGTCCACTAGAATGATGAGCCTATATGGGTTAGCAAGAAATGTAAGCTTACACGAAAATTTGAAACACTGATAAGCTTACACAAAACCGATAAACAACTTTATTGGGATAATGTTTCGACGTTATCGTCTTCATCAGAGTCGGTGATCCGAGGCGATGGTCCACAGTTGTTCATCTTCCCGATGTGATGTCTTAATCTTCACACCAAGTCGGATCTTTTTCATTGATCTTCTTTATCCTACCCTTCATCTCAAATGATATAAGTACAGCTATAAAATGCTGTTTAAGAAGGGTGGGCTTAGAGAATTCGGTGAGCGTAGTTGAAATACCACCGAGTAATCTTAAGCGCCAGCTAGTTCGTAACCGCCTATATGACCGTCTATGTGCAACTCAAAATTGCATAATTTGTCCCAGTGGTAGAGACGGTGATTGCATGAGCTCGGGTATAGTTTATCTGACCTCCTGTAAGACATGCGGTGACGAATACATTGGCGAAACGGGTAGACCCCTCTGTGTCCGCATAAAAGAACACCTAGCCGGCAAACATAGACCAAATACCCCGCTAGGCACGCATAGGACCCAGAGACATAACGGGGACGACTTCGAAGTATGTGTCACGATCCTCGCACGCGAATCAAGAACACAGGCGCGAAAAACTCTCGAGGCACTCTGGATTAATTCCAGAAATCCGAAAATGAACCGCAGGGAAGAATGCCTCATTATCACGCGTGATATAGGGCAGTATATAAAACTGCTTTTCTGATGTGAGGGGCGCATTATACTTCCACGTGATTTCTGTGCGGTTGGTCTCTACGTGACATACTTAGTGGAAACCTCATAGAAAGCGGCGAGTGTGCAAAGCTGTGTTCAAAGTGATTGAAATCTTGGTTTGGAGTTTCTTTGTTTGGTTATGGAGGCGTCTGGCCGAGTAGATTGCTATCAACTTGACCTTTCCAGGCTCTGAAGAAGGCGAAATCCGCCGAAACGTCAGCTTAATCGTGAACAAAGAATAGTAACACCTCGCGTTTGCTCAACAAAAATACGAAGAAAATCACTTTTTCATTGGAGCATCTCACGAATGGGGCAATCTAACGCGGCCATGCTCCTTTATACAAGACGTTGGTTGGTGACAGCAGTGATTGTCCAGTGATAACGACTTGTTTTTTCCAGATAATTCATCTCACAGAAGCCGGCATCATTATCAGGTAGCATAGCGCATAACAATACTTCGAAACAAACTTTCCTTTAACTTCGGTATAACCATTGAGAAGACGAACAATTGGGCCCATGACTTCGCATCATCTCGGCTCTGATGAAATCCAAGACGTCGAAACGTTAGCAGAATAAGGCTGTTTATCGAGATTGTGTGCTTTTCAATGCAAGAATGCATGTTGATTATTCAAACCGAGGTTAAAGGAAAGTCGGTTATGAGACATCATGCTTGCATTGACTACGATCTCCTTTATCTGAGAATATTTAATTTGAATATGTCATCCAACGTCCAGGTTGAACTCGGGATTCCAGGGAACCACAGTGGCTCAATCAGCAAATCCCCGAAAATGATGATTATGCTGGGGCCCGCACAACCAATGAGGACAGGCCGTTCAAGTATCAAGTATACCACTTAATATTCTGGCATCTTCTAGTCGAGGAGATGAGGACAAATTGCAAATTCTTCCATAATTAGTGATGATATACAATGTCCACCCAAGATAAACCGGATGGAAACTAGCTTCCGCTTTCACGTTCAGGTTTCGAGAAGGAAATCTTTCAAGAAACGTAGGAGGAAGTATCCAAATTCAAGTAACAAAATCGTGATAGTCTATTACCCTTCCTCTCATCTTTGGCACATGAGAGCGGTTGTGTGGCAAACAAGATAGATGAGGAAGGTAAGCCATCTGTATTGACGGCTGAAATCAGCCATAAATCGCAGACAAACCTATGCGCTAAATCGCTAATCCACTAGACCTGTGGGTCATCTAGGTATTTAAGCGAGTAAGGTTTCGTTAAAAATGGTGCAACTGAGGTGAGTCGAACCCTTGATAGTGATATACCACCCCAATAAGCCATGTCGAGAGTCGAATCGTTTAAAGAGATTGGTTAATGAATAGCGACAATAGGAGTTTCCCACTCGATTGAGCTGTTGAGTCGAATCCTGCGCAGGAAGCACTTCTCGGGTGGAGAAGTTCACTCAGCGACGCTCTTTTACACAAGACGGATGTTGCACTATTGCCGCCATCCAATAGGATCTCAAATTTGGCTGGTAATGCAACCTGTGTCAGTTGGCACTTTAACTGCTACCACCTAAAGTGTCAATATCTTGAAAACTGAATTTTATTCAATCTCGGTAGTAATAATCAATGGCTGCTACAATGAGAATCTTACTGCAGATCACAGACAATCACAACAGTATTGATATATACATACACAGTTAAGGACATGTTTTAGAAAACCAAAGATGAATATAGTAAATAAGAAAAAAATAGCCGAAGGAATAGATGGGCAGTTCTGCTATTTCGGAGCCGAGCTTTTTCAAACGAAACGAAGGTTGCATCAGTTGTGAGGTTATTCTTATTAGAATTTTACAGAACACATCCAGGTGCTTAAAATTCACAGAAGTACGATGATACGATTCCCGTATGGGGAAATCATCTACTTGGTAGATATGATAAAATTTAGGCTCAATTACTGCTCACAGAGTATAATGGACTATAACTAGGAATCGAAATCGTACACTTTCATGTTTTCCTTAAACGCTTTTCGGCCTTCGGAGGACACGATATAGCCATATTTCAAAAAGGGTTTAGTGAAATAATCGCTGATTTAATCCGGAAATCAGGGTTTTTTCACCTTTCTGGGATATCTACTAAAACGATAGATGTTTGTGGGCAATTTGTGGTGTAGACAATGAAAAAACCACGCTCTAAAGATAGATTTAAGCCTTCTTTTCAGATCTACCTGTTGGAGAGCTCCATCGTAAAGAACTACAAAACAGTTTACCATACAATTATTTCACCTAGTTTTTGTTTGGCAAAATGATCACAGTCGAACACTATCTAGGAAACACCAGTTCGATATGTTATGAAAGCCATCTCTGCTTGCTAAATTGCGTTTAAGGTGAAGAACTACTCAAAGACTCCAAAATGACAAGAGTTGACCGAATGGCTGATAGTATCAACAGTGTTTTACGCGACTAGATTACGGTAGACCTTAGCAATGTGAGCATTTTTTCAACATATAACGAACAAAAAGGCAAACATGCTTCCCATTCCAAAAGTCAATATTGGTAAGTGGCGAAATTACCATCAGGATATTGGAAGCTGTGGTCACGAATAGATCTCATTCGACTTTGCCTGTCTGCTGTTGATTGGAGCTGAACAGATTCCACGTCCTGGCTGAAACCTCTCATCATAGCTTGCCGCTTTGATGCGGCTAATGAATTCGTGGCACTTCTGGCGCTTGACGTTTCTGCAGCATAAGTCGTATGAACCTATAAAGAAACAAGGTGGAGATTTATGTACAAGGTGCAATACATCATGGTGAGATCAGAATTGCAACGATCTCCGCTTCCTAGAGCGCACAAGCAAATTTTTTAAGAAAAAATTTTCGACACATTGCTATAAACGGTCTTGAGACGCTTGTGATCTTCGCCATGGCATGATTTCATGGCGTCGCATCGTCTAGCGAAATATCGACTTTACAACCAACCATAGTATCATCAACAGCGTTTCATAGCGAACTCCATTCATAGTGGATTGATACTTGTTACTTGATACTTGAATGGCCCGTCCTCACTAATTGAGCGGGCCCCAGCATAATCTCCACTTTCGGAGATTTACTGGCTAAGCCATTGTAGCTCCCTGGAATCCCGAGGTCAGCCTGGCAAAAGTTTTCCCCAGGTGTTCATCATCACAGGTAATCTCAGCCCTTTAGATTTGCCACCATGCGGCTTTGATACCAGAACGTTGGTGGATCCTCGTACTGGTTTTGGTTTATTCTTAGCTAGGTTTCCTGATGGAAACTCCTTCTCAGCCTGAGAGACTCTGCCGAGGGACGAATCCCTCGTCTGTACATCGCAGTCCGACACCCAGTAACACCTCCCAGCCACGATGAGGCGGTAAACCGTTGGGATGAGTTGATTGATAAGTGGAAAAAATTTAGTCGAAGTAGAATTTGAGCTCATGCTTGCGCACCACTCCAGACTTTTTCTGAAACTTAGGTGCAGGTCAACTTAAACCGACTTAGACGATCTCATTGTACCTGATAGAGTCCAATGTGACCGCAGTTTCGAACGCGCAATCTTTCGCACATATCTAATGCTTGTATGGTGTTTGTCGGATGAAGTATGGAACCATATTCACACATTAGAATGTAGGCGAACGGATGCGACGACAATTGACCACTGAAACGAGTAACTCGAAATGATGACGTTCCGATCGCAATGATTCTATCGCATAGTCAGATCATTCAATGAGGCTAATAATTTCAATATCAGAGAGCAACGTTTTCACATCAAATCAAGAAGATGCACGTATTTGGTCTACACTCTTTCGTTTACTCATAAATCATGAGTGCTACGGTCTGCTATCTGCATTCGTGCTTTTGCGTTAAATGCTTCTTCAATAACAACACAGATATAACTCATTCAATTTTCGAAATTAGAAATCAATTTGGAATTTTGAACACCTGATTCTTCCTGTCATTATTTCTCGGGTAGAAACACCTTCGATATTATGTATGTTCGAGTATCTGTCTCACGGTGCCAATTGCACTCACAATGGACAACGGTTTCGTTCCTTTTTTTGCGTGCCGGTTCGGTTCCTGCTCAAGAATTCTGGTCTTCTTTATGAATGTCACTAAATTTTCGTCAACTCCATCCTTTTTAGATCTTTGATATACTTATGTTAGGAGGTTCCCAAATCGTCATCACAACTAGTAGCCAGTCTTCGCAGTTTCGAGGAAGCAAACTAACGTCAAACAAGTTCCGTAGAAATTTCTTGACCATGGAGAGATGGAGGACTTCATTAGCTTAGGTGCGGGTCCTTCGTTGAGGATGCTTGTGAAAATTAAGTGACATAGCGTTACGGAATTTTCGAACAATTCAGAAGATTCGAACTTCCTAGTTTCGAATATGATTTGCCTGAAGCATTGACACCACCAAATTTTGTTTATTTCTGGCGACACTGTAGTCTTTTCTTGAGGTAGCAATTAAGTAAATAGGAAAAAAACTTGTTTCATAAAGAACTGTGGTACCAAGGCAATCCAATCGAACTGGATGGTTTTTTGACAATGGAGACGACGTCGTTTGTGTACCTTGGGCGTTTCGTGGCTAAGGAAAACGGAACGAAGAAGAAATCCCAAAAAATAGACCACAATAGACCATGTTTGGCCTTTCAGGTAAGCCAAAAACCGGCCAGCGGAACCGAAATTCCGTCCTCGCTTTTTTCGTCGAACGATCTTCCCAGTGCTCTACAGCACAGCAGAAACGTGAGTCGATCATTCAACCACGCCAAGAGTTCCGCATAGAACATTTGTCAATGTCTTCTGAAATATTATGGACACATAAAAAGACTGGATAAACTCCGCAGTTTCGAACTCCAAACGTTACCCTATTTCCAAGACCCAGTAGACTGCGCATCCATAGCGAAGCATAAGTATGCCGGTCTTCTAATGCGAATAGTCGACGACAGATGGACGAAAAGAAGAATAGATTGTACATCAAGGAAGTGAAAGCGTTAGATAGGATAAACAACCACAAGGTCGGCAGACATTTTTGTAGCTAAAATAACTTGGCTGAATTCGTAGCTGGGAAGTTATTTGTGGATCAAAGGATAATGCTTTCCCTCTCGACAAACTTGAAGTGGTTGTTCACAAAAACGATGAACGCGAGGCTAAGAAATGAACCCAAGCATGGCTACGAACGCCTACACAATAAGACAAAGAGGCAATAAAATAAAATTTCATAGTTTCATTAAATGTCTAGATATTCGCGAATTTTACAATTAAATAGCACGAAGAAGTGCGAATACTACAGATAGACTCACATCGGCATGAGCTTTCGGAGACCAATCCGTCTAAGACTCCAAGTTCTCGGTGAATATTTATAGATTTCTCGCGCTCCGGACCACGACAACCACGATTTCTCGAGTGTCTGTTGCTGAAATATTAAAAATGGCGTCCCGATAAAAAAAATCATCGTCGATGAAATTTCGATAGCTATCAGTGTCAAATAAAATGACGTGCATTGTGAACAGTGTATCCCAGTATTCTCTCGTTATTCATTTAATGGATTTTTGGAAATCAGAATGTTGCCGGTGTACAGTCGAAATGTTTAAAAAAAGGCGCTAAAAAAGTGATATGGTCACGGGATCTCACCACCATGTCACCAGTTTATAACGCCACGTTAAAATGTTAAGGGCTCTATTTCATAGTACCTGTCACTTACTTGATACTTGATACTTGAACGGCCCGTCCTCACTAGTTGTGCGGGCCACAGCATAATCACTATTTTTCGGAGGTTTGCTGGTTAAGCTTTTGTGGTTTCATAGAATCCCGAAGACAGCTCGGCTAAAGTCGTGCACTCGTAGCCCTTGTGGATCGAAGGGAGATTTGCCACCATGCGACTTTGATACCAGAACGGTGGTGGATCCTGGTATCGGTTTTGGTCTACTCATAACTCCTTCTCAGCCTGAAAGAGCCTGCCGGAGGACGAATCCCCCGGCTGTACATCGCAGTCCGACACCCAGGAACACCTCCCAGCCACGTCGAGGCGGTAAACCGTTGGAAGGCACCCGTCACAACGGATCGCAAAACGTAAAGACAACAAAGAAAGCCAACTAGGAAGCTTCATCCAACTTCTTACTGCAGTTCATCAACAAGGACCCAGATGTGTTCAATTCCCAGTTAAAGGTGATTTCACGAAACTTCGAAAGCACACCGCTCGTTCTTACTCAAAGCACCTTCTACGGTTCATTAAATTATTCATTTTAGAATGGAACGCTCAAATATTTGATGCTTAAAGGTGCGACAAATGAGAATATCAAACTTGTTGTCCCGTGCAAGCCACTGCATGGACTTTACGTTTGAGCACATTTTGAATTCCCGGTATTTACAGAGACAAACCCAAATGAGTTATAAAAATGATTAGGCATAAAAAAGCTTTGGAAACTCAAACAGTCGATGTTTGAAAGAAAGCTTAAGCAACGAAAACCAATTTTTTGTTGAACGAAAAGGTATGAAAATTTGTTATATGAAAAAAGACTGCAAAAAAATATCTGGGTAGACCTTCGATGAGTCGTCGAGAAGTTTGAAGCCAATTACGATGTATCCAGCATGCCGATTTGACGGTAGACGTGAGTCGGCATTAGTAGTGACTGTCTTCTGGATGGAGTAGATTTCCTCATAAGTGCCTGAATAAAGCTAAGGATTTATAGTGAACATTGCTGTACTGTGATAATGTCTAATGTAATGTTTGCTGGTCATCTCATTGTGAAGAGCCTCCATCACAATGCAAACGAGCTAAACACTAAGCGAAGTGCGATTTCGAGGCCATTTTCAGATTAGCAGAGACGTAATGAGAACATTTCACTGAGCTCTTCGTTCATTAATGTGTTCTCCTTAGTAACTGCTTTTTTAACTAATCAATACTGCAATTAAAAAATTATCCTGATTGGAAGGACACATAAATTCTACGTGCAGAATACCTCTCCTTTTACTTGAATATTAGTGTATTATGACAGCTAATAATACCACAAATTCACAGTAGTTTTCGAACTCTTCCAATAGCATCATAGTTCCCATCACGCCTCATCGTGATTGGGGAAGTTCCTAGTGCAGAACAGCGATGCAAATCGGATGATTAACCAACCTTGCAAAGTCTCTCAAAGTGAGTGGGATTTCGACACATCCACCTATGTGAGTAAAGGCGGTGTAAAATAATGCCAAAAAAACACCAATAGCCAGGTATAAACCTAGACACAAGGTGGCAATCCTCCTTAGAGTCATATGGGTTGACGAGTCAATGTTGTGACAACCTGGAAAAGCTCTAACGCCTATTTTAGGGCATCAACTACTCTCACCAAGCCTCCTATCATTTTAAGGACTTAAAACCTCTATCAAACACGTCCGGAAACAGTTCACCTCTTGCAATCTAAAAAGGGACTCTGCATGCCGCCTCTAGGGAGAATCGAACCAGCGGAAGTTCAACGACATTCATAAGAAAGACAATAATCTTCCAGGAGCCACTAAAGACACACGAAAAGTTCGAAGACTTTCGTATTTTATGTATACGAGAAAACGAATAGAACGTAAGAAGTGCTGCGACCCGCACAGTAAATGCGAAGGATGGGTAGCGTAAAATAAATAAGAAAAAAACGTTAATGACGCAGAAAGAGGAGCAAACCCGGAGCCCTGGGTGAGCTTCGAACCCGCGATTAACTTTTCTTGGGGCTCACGTTTTATTCACTACATCACCATCGCCTCTAAAGAGCGTCATTTAGCTTTTACGAAATCGAAACTTCAGAAACAGTTTGCCGTTGATTTACTCCGTAAGGACACTCTTGCATTCGATTCAACTGGAGACCTCAGATCTATGGCGGGAGATTTGTCCTCAGAGCATTGAATTAAACCAAGATCACGTGTGTGACGCAAACGGCCTCTAACCACTGCATATAACACGCTCATGTGCTCTACACACAAAAAGGAAATAGGAGGCTGTGCGTTTACTGTCATGCACATCCTTGAAGAAAAACGCCCGCTACCGAGTGTCGGAACGATTCATAAGGGATCTTCTGAAAATATGTGAGGTAAATAATGTGGAGAAATACACGAAAATCTTAAATGAACAGCTTCCGAACGTTTTTTGGACGCTTTTTGTTTCAGTTGAAAAAATTTTCGCGGATATGTAATCTGCCAAAGTCTTTTTATTTTCATTTTATATGACCCGTCTTCACGTATACTGTTGGGATCCCAGCACTTTTGACATTCGATTCGTTTCTCCGCATCCGTCATCCTCTAAGATCACACTTCGTACACTTCTGGTGTCGTTTCGGCTGCTGCTTGAGGATTTTCATTTCATCTTGAATGTCGTAGAATGTTGGTCGAGAAATTCCTCCTGCAGTCCTCAGATAGCCAGGCTGGAGCCTTCCCAATTGGATTGCAGAGAGTGGCTTTTACCCGGACAAGCACGGTACCAATTTTCCGACTCCGAAGGGAACAGAGGCCTGGTGGACTTGGTTCGGAATCGAAACCACCGTGCCCGTGGTGATCGGGATCACTACCACTATGCCATCCCCTCATTATTATTAAAGGGTTATCAGGCAAATATTTTAGTATACCGGTGGAAGACATCATGGTAGCTACGTGATTTCTAGCAAATCCTTACACATACAGTACTTCTCTGTGACATCACCAAAACGCGCTTAAAGATAACATGACAACCTTATTCAAACATCTACGACCAACAGAATTTATGTCGCTAGAAACTTATTCTCCTTAAGAGCAGAAAAAAGTTTGCCATCTAACATTTGTCTCACAAACAGTGTATTCATCACGTAAGATATGCTGACGAGCAATCCGAGAAAGTTTCCATCAGAAAAGTCTCAAGTTTAACTTGGTAAGTGATAGGGGCCATTGGCACCTAGACAGTTCTAGTACCCAGGAAAAGTTTTTTACCAACGTTCGCACTCATCAGCAAATGGTTCCTCGGTAAGCAAATACGAGGTTGCTTAAACAATATTTGTTTGAGAGGGGAAAACGTTACAGCAGGTCTCGCCTTCAAGAAAACATAGAAAGTTGTAGTTGTTGTTTATACGGAGAATTCATATTCATACAAAACTCAAAATGGAAGAAATTTTGCAAGAAGCTGCACAAAGAATGTTTAAAAAGAGCCCCCAATGTGCCGATCAGAACAAGACATGCTGTCGATCTTTCCTATTTTGAAATTTCTCATGAGTTTATCCGCAATACTTTCATGCATGGGACGACCATTAAGTAGAGCAGTTCGCCGCTGATGGATGAAGAACTTTTATGGTTGTTTACCACATGAATTATAATCTGCGCTTAGCATGTCAACTTCTGAATAACGAACGAGGTGTTCTGATTCTGATGGTAGTTATTTCTCATTTATCGGTGTTTATTGAAAGATGGACGTACCGAACAGACTGCTTTCATATACACGACACGCCTTGACCACCTCTTCGATTTCGCGCAAAGTGCTGCATTGATCGAACGATTGGAATTGAGAGAAGTGAAGGTAAGGAAATAAAGCTAAAACAGCATCGTTATGTGAAGATACCATGAATGTTCAAGAGGACACCCTCTAAAAGCAAATACGTAAACGCTAACGCAGAAAAAAACTGGAAACTTTTATAAACAAGCCTTGCCTTTTTCGCTATGACGTCAAAATGTCCACAAAACCCTAAGCCAAAAAATATCTGTAGGTATAAAGATTTGTTAGATTAAACCATAAAAGAAAATTTGCCACATTGCATTAAATATACAGAGACGTTAATAGCCTTAAAACCCACTGATCAGTTGTTCTTCCAATGGTTAGTCGCTTTTTGCGATTCGAGGTATTTCCTATAACTATGATAACTATGATGTGCAGCGCGAAGGACGTCACACACAATTGAGTCTCGCAAGTTGAGAAGGAGCTCGGCAATTTCGTCTGATTGTTCTGATTTCATTCAATTGAGCCTGGATTAGCCACTGTCAGGGGTCGCTGGGAAGAAAGCGATGCGCAAGGTGAAAACGTCATTCGGACGGAAAACAGCCGGCGGTTACTTGCACTGCTAACCTGGGAACACCCTGAACTGAGCTCCTGTTTCCGAGAATAGGAAAAAGGATGAGGTGGAAAGTGTTTCGGAATGCGCACGATTCTGTCTTGTAACTGACCATTAAATTTCTCATTTTGCAACGAGAGACTATTGTTTTTGAAGAGAGTGTGCGACCTAGAGGGTTCATCCCATGTGCAGCATCATTTTGATGAGCAGTTTGCTGTTTTCTATTTTTCTATCATTATAATAACTTTTATTTATCGCTTAGAATCAGAGAATGCCGAAACTAAAAGGTAAACATTGTACTATTCTTTGCAGAATTTATAGAACTTCATTAAATGCTGACAGGAGCATGACCCCATGGTTGGCGAGTGTTTGTCCTCCATACACAAGTGTTGCACATGCACCAAAGCCATGGCAGGATAATACAGAGCAACATGGAGCATTCATAAGATAAAAGAGGCGCAGATATTTTTTCAAAACGCAGAGGAGAACCGATTTATAGAACGGAAATCACAACAAAGAGGAGAGCTACACAAAAGTGCCGGAGTAGACGGTGTGACACCTATGGGTGCCACAGTGAGCGCAGTAAAAATGAAGAGTCGTCTACTCCGCAAAAAACATGAAATTATGCATTGTCGCGACAGTCTTGAAAAGTACAGAAATAAAATTAAGATGAAACTTTGTTTTGGATCTTCATCAGGAGCTGACACTTAAGTGACTGGTAATGTTTCTTTTCGTATGTTAAAGGCATTACAATAAAATTTCATTTGATCGAAAACGCTTTGTTGCAATGATTATCTGGCACTTCATGGGTATTTTTCTTATTGTTTCCTTGATGCCCTGTTCCTAGTTTTGATCTCTTTTGTTTCTATTTACTCAAATGAAAAGGGCAGTGGTATGAGGCGCGCTGCAATACACATGAGATCGATTCCCGTGGCACAGGCCCACCAAGCCTTCCATCCCTCCGGGTTCGGTAAATTGGTACCAGATTTGTCTGGGAGAATAGCAGCACTGGCTCGGCACATCAGTAGGCCATCGCGAGTCGTTGTAAAGACCAAATATTAATTCAATCACCTCCAACGATGCCTAGTAAAGCCAAATGCATGGCGCTTCCTTCAGGGATTAATCGACACCGTGAGCTTTATCCTTTATTTGTCCTTTTTATTATTGGTAAGATTTTGTTCAATAAAATAGTACTTTGCTTTCTTTAAAGAATGAAGTCCCATACGACTGCTCTAGTCTTTATGTGCCAGCTGTATCCGCAACTGCCCATCATAGCAACGGAGTCTTTTCTAGCTTTAAAATTATGCTAGGTATACTGTAATTACTGGGAATGATGTGTATCTAGAAAAGGCATAGATATAATAAATAAGTAGTAAAAACTTGAATAAGTTACTCGAAGGCGAAATATTAACGAAAATGAGGTTATTACAAGACTTCATATGCGGAAGTAAACAGTGAATACAATTGAACAAGACTAATTGTCGTGAATAGGACACTGCCGGCAATATGGATGCGCAGATGAGGTTTTCCGAATACTGAAGCGACTTACGTTGTTTGTCGATGCACTTCAGAAGGATTCCGTTACTGAACGACGTGCTCTCCTTGATCACACAACATTCGGCGATCGCCTTCTCATAGACCGGATCTTCGGCTGCGAATCTGCAATGAAACCTCCCTTAATCTCTCACGCCTTTGCTATCACAGTAAGGCCGCTTAGTCTACTTTGAAAAAAATTGTTTTTCTATTTAAAACAAGTGTCCGCTTCTTATTACTGTACTATATTCACTACATATTTATAGTAAGTTGCCGAGTTTGCTGAGTGAATCAGCTATCACCACCTTGTACATCAAACGTCCTTCAGGGAACTGTGGCAACCAGGGAATCATGGCATTTAGAGTTTAAAGACGAAAACTCCTATTTCTGGATCTTGTCGAGTATTCGAAATTCGATCCTATTCGAACTGAAGACCATAAAGTACCCGCACACTGATGGGCATTCAATTTTTAAATTTTTGTAGAATTTGCTTCATGATTAGTGTGTGAAACAATAATATGAATAACACCGCTCTTGGTTCTATAAATGGTAGGTGCTTCAAATGAGCAATAAAACGGTGGAAACTGTAGATAAATTCTAGATTCACAGTCAAAACTGTTTGCTATTATGCAACAGTTGAACGCTGCCGATTATAACTGGCCGAGTTCGTGTTTCCTCCAAGACAGTTGCCACTCTGAAGTAACTCTTTGCGAAGAGAATGATGGAACTGTGCTGTTAATCCCAATTCAGCTTTTATATTCGAAGCCCACTCTGGCTCCCCAAGCCTCTCATCCCTCCGTAGTCGGGAATTTAGTAGCCGATTCCTTTGGGAGCAGTACACTGACCACAATCAAACTGCCAATTCCTTAGTTTAACTATTCCAGGACTCCAGGAGAATCGACTCGACCATCATTCAAAATTTGTAAGGCAGACGGAGGTTCTCAAGAAACAGCTGAACCCACACTCGAAAAGTTTCGATAAGTACTGCTATCCTCGAAGTGTATGTAAAGACAGGCGTTTAAAATTTAAAAAGTAGCGCTGATACGGTGTAATGCAACGTTTTAACTAACCCATAGCTGCACTTAGGATTATCGATGGCGACAAAGCCTATCAAAGCCAATGTCTCCGACATCGCCTTCTCGTCACCGCAAGCAAAATCCACCTCTTCTCCCTTTGCCTGCAATATAATGAGATTTCCAAAGCACTAATAAGAACGCCAAATTGTTTTATTAGACCACAAAAAAAAAGAATTGGGTACATAATTTTGTAAGCCATAAGGAAAACAATTTGTATCCGGCAAACATTATACGGAGTTAATATTAGGGCTGGTCCTGTGAGACCGGACCGAATGTTTACTGCATGGAGAGTCTAAAAATCATTTTCCTAGACATTTTGACAGCCGAATACGACACAGCTTCTAAAATGCTGCTTTGAAAAAACAAAACTTCTGCTGCTTTAGTGAACGTGCCTTCTTGTTGTGCCAGCAAATGGTTTATTCATAAAATGGATGTGTGTATGCCGTTGTCAAGGAAATTTTTATACTTAGCAATCAAGATGAGTTAGAGCAGAAAAAGTTGGAAAAATTTTACTCGAATAATTCATTTACCCAAACATTGCAAAGCAAAAGAAGATGAAGGACTTTTTATAGAATTTGATGGTCTGGAGTTTTAGATGAGAAGTCTGGTAGAGCATTGGTAGTGATGCCGTTCATCATGAACACGGTTCTGGTCTCACCAAGCTTCCCATTCTTCTAGAGTCGAAAAATTCGCAGACTTGTCTGGGAACTGGTTACTCTCTCCAGTCGCAGAGGATGTAGCCCAGATAATCCAAGATTCCATAGAGAATTAACTCGGCTAGCATTATACGGCATTCAAAATGAAGGCGACAATTTTCTAACAGCAGCCGAACGGGAACGCTGTAGGTTTAAAGATCTTAGTGGATGATGGATGCGAGGAAACGAATTGCAAGAATTCCACACAATAGATCAGAAGATGTGTGATGTAAAGCAAAATTTAAAAAAAGAAGTTTTAGAATGACGGAAGGAAAAAGAGTTGTCGTTCTGTTCGAACATTCGACTATTTTAAAACTTTGATATTTGAATGTTTTAACTTTCATTTACTGTCTATCCCTTTCTCACGTAATGCTGAAATAGCGGCAAAACTCAGAATCTCCGCTGGAATTCGAACCCGTAACTACACTTTCCGGAAGGTGCACCCGCTACCCGCTTCACCAACCGGGGCCTTGCTTTACCTCTCTTTCGGCCTTTTTGCCACTAATATTTGGATAAAATCGATTGTTTTGGAAATCACTTTACGTTAAGTTGTTAAAGAAAAGAAGTGGAGTGATTAAAATAAGTAGCATTTTGGACAGAACAAATGCATTCGAAAGTAAACCCGATTTTTTCAATGAATACTTATATATGGGTAATTGTGGTGATTGAAATGGAAGAGGGAAAAACTACCGGAAAACAAAATAGAATTTTAGCAAATTGGAATGGTACTTCTAGAACTTTTATTCGGCTAGCGCTTCGACTTCTTCGTCTTCTTCAGAGCTGGCGATCTGAGTCGATGATCAACAGTCATTCGTTTTATCGATGTGGCACCTTCGTCGTAGTATCGAGTTGGATCTCCTTCGGTGGATTACCGCTCAAATGAGGCTATCTCAACCGAAATGTATAAAAGAGCGCTGCCAGGTGAGATTGCCTCGTTCAAGCGATGCTCCAGTGAAGAAGATTCGACTTAACACGACGATGAAGACACGATGTCGAGAAAATGAACGACTGTGTGACATCTGCTCGGATCATAGGCTCTGATGAAGTCGAAGGCGTGCAAGCGTTACCCGAGGAAGACTTATATAGCGACCTCGTGTAAGCTAAACAATTCATAGAGGTATATCAATTATTCAAGCCGAGGTTAAGTGGAAGTCGGTTTAGTAAATGGTAGTAATCTATTTCGAATTAACCATTAATGGGTGATGAGAGCAAGCAAAAGGATAGAACTGGAAAGATGTCAACGAAAAGGATTGCAGTCATTATAATGCTGCAATAAACGAAAAAGTAATCATTAAACACCATGGAAAAGGATCGCGACTCTAAATGAGAAACAACCCTGTCTCTTTTCGGCTTTCTAATTGGTTTCTTAAAAGCGACAAAAATTATTCGAGACACCAATCATAATAATCATTGTTTTATGCACAAAAATCAAACTATGGATTGTTTCCGAGGACTTGAGATGTTTTCGTTTAGTTCCGGCTCGAATTTGTTTTTGTAGTGCTCCGTAGAAAAGCGATTAGCCTGGCAGCGTAACAAAGACAGCAGCACGTCGATCCTCAGGGGAGTTGCTTTGTTCTTTTATACGACGTCGATCGTAGCCGTCTTGTCACACACGATTACGGTAGGGCGAGCAACGCACCAAGGATGATGTCGTTCAACGGCAACTTCATTAAGCATGCGATACATTAAAAACGTACGCTGATAATTCCATGAATTATTTCATACATAATGACAGATGATGAACAGGATTAGACGTTACTACGACTGATAGTAGTTCAAGACTCATTCGACGAAATTGCTTAGGAAAAAGGAGTGCCTCAGAGAAAAAAAAAGAAGCCCTAGAGCTTTAAATTCGTAAGGAATACCTCCAGAAATTATTATTACCGACTGCCGAAACACGAAAAAGAGCTTTCAGCTACTCAATTTGCTGACGGAAATGCAGCGACATTTGTGTTTTATTTATAATTTCTTTGATGCTGAAACTATAAAAAGGGGCTGAATGGTGATGTTTAGAAGGTCTGCCAGCGAACTTTTCACTTGCCATTTAGTACATGGCGAAAAAATCTTTTCGATTCCGCGACCGTCAGGAGAATGGCGACTTTATTTGGCGTGAAGAGAGTGGGAATCGAATTAGTGGCCTTTCACATTTTGAGGCGTCCGCTTGCTCGTCGCTACCCGTCCATTAATTCACAACATTATTTCACATAATTTAGCAGTGGCTTTTTCAATGAAGCATCGACAGGAGCATAAAGAAGAGCTGAATGCTCTACTTTTATGCTGGATATCAACTGTGATCTCTAATAAGGTGGATACTAAACGAACATGTGTTTAAACTGTTGAGCTTACATAAGGTTGTTATACAACTTTTATTCGGCTAACGTTAGCCGAATAAAGGTTGTATAACAACCTCGTGTAAGCTCAGAGATTTAAGCACATGTTTATTAGTCATAGCGAGGTCAAGCGAAAGTCAGTCTTGAAACACTAAACGAACAGTCGGCGAAAAGTTACAGGACAGTCCAAGAACTTATTTGATGCTGCGAATCGAGAACTTATTCTCGAAGTTAATAAGGAATATTTTACATAAACGAAGGCGGGCATCATGATGAGTCCTGTATAGGTCATTTTAGACCGCATAAAACTTGTGTAGTCACGGATCGCTAAATTTTTTATTGTACTCCAACATCAATGTAACCTAGAATTATTGCTTGATCGAATTTATGACATGATAGCTCCTTCCCTACAAATTTTGATAGTTTTTTACTTAAACGTTTTTCGGTAGCGTTTGTAATGGAGCCGTTGGATTTTATCTACAATCATGACTGCCTTGGGAAGTATCTTTACATAAATCAGCTCCATCTCACTACAGAACCGAGTGCACTGAACTTCACCCCTCACAGTTCTCTGGCTATTTCCGACCAGGATTTTCTTTTGAGAAAGCTGAAAAATAGCTTAAAGGGTTAAATATCTTCCTTGAAACTACTACTATGAGTTCCAACACGACGATTCCTTTAAATGGTCAAATAGAAATTTCTATGATTGCATGTCTTGTTCATAGCGAAAAAACCTTAGAATCTTTCATAGAAGAGAACGAACTCATTGTTTTAACTTTTCAGATGTTTTGCACGAAACTAACGCGATAAAAATATTATAGAAGAATATAGTACTATTACAATTACTAGACTATGACCTGACTTCAGTTGGTTTTTGATTTTTCACAGAATTAACTATTACAAGCTTTGATAAAATGAAGGCAACGGTTTTTTGTTATGCCATGATACTACGATGGTATTCAGAAAAATACAATCACTGAACTGCTTAAACATCAAAACCATTCCTCTATTGGTTGTGTTCGAAAAGCGGATATTCACAGAAATCAGACGCTGTCCTATTAACGTCTCACAAAGCTCGAGAGTAAAGGTAGATAGTTGAGAAGCGGCAGAATGAAGTGACATTCTAGTGAATGCGGAGGTAGAGCCGTCATTACTCGCTTCGGATGAGAGCGAACCGGACGAGCAGAGAGGACGACGACTAAAAAGGTTAGGCATAGAGAATCTGATTGGAACTCTTTAGCACTCAATCGGCAACAGGCAATTTAGCCGACAGCGTTTCGACGCCAGCATGAAACCACTCTCATTCAAAATGTTTTTTCCTTTTTTGAAGATTCTTCAACCTTTTCTAGTTGTTCAACACATTTTTTGTCTAACTGAAGCGCCAGCTAACTCAATTATTTTTACTTGGTGTAGGTGTTGGCTTTGAAAAAGAAACACTAAAGAAGCTTCTATTTCATCGCCATCAACACGTAGAACTTTCATGAAGAAGATCTCGAATTTCTACAAGAAAACAGACGCGTTCCACCTGAAATAGTTCGTAAAATTACGCTTTGTCAACTACTTTAGATGGAAGCGGTCTAAAAAGATAGATTATGCGCTATACCGCTAAAATATCTATGAATAAAATGAATAGTAATCCTAGATGTTTAACGTTTTGTTTTCTGCCTTCTATAATTTTCATGGCAGGTTATTAAGCGAAATACAACCACAACGTTGCTGAGA